TTGGTATTAATCACGCACATCGCCCCAACACAACTCTTTACTGGCCATCAATTTCCCGTGGGTTTTAAAACTAAAAAACAAAGACAAAACCGCGTCGTTTGGCCGCCACTGAGAAGCACATTAAGGGGCTGTCAGCTTCTCGCCATGCACCCTGCATCACTCTTTAAGCACATGAGAAGTTCATTATCCCTGGAGCTCTGGCAGCCATGGGGATGCTGGCGTAGGGAGTGTCGCAAAGGTGCTCCTACCGTCAGACATGCCTTATGGCTCCCCAGGGCCATCCCGGCTGCCCAAAACAGGAGTCAGAGGTCCCGGGCACAGAGGAGGCACGGCTGCAGTGGGGGCTCTGGGCTTGTCTGCAGCAGGACAGGGCACTCCTGGCCACAGCACTTTGCTGGGCTTTGATCTTGAGCAGACTTTCCTGATGGTCCCTGCAGGCTGATGCTTCAACCCCACTGTGGTGACGAGCTCTTCCCTGCGGCTGCTGCAACTTCCCCTGACAGCCTGACACCAAGTTTGCCAGCCTGTGGGTGCTCCCTGACAGCCTGAGCCACACTCTCCAGTTTGGTGACATCCCCGGCAGCCCAATACCACGCTTGCCATAGTTTGCTGATGCTCCCTAGCAACCTGACACTGCGCTCTCTTTAACATGCGACCATGTAAAAAAGCAACAGCTCGTTTGATTTATGATACTTCAGAACAACTAAGATTCAATTGCTCCGCACGTCCCTGGCTCTGATTACCTCCTAAATGAGATAAACTGATGGCAATTTATCCCCAGACCTCACCAACTTTCCCAGGATGCTAACCTGAGAAGCTCGTGCCCTGCACACGCAGGCGTCAGGCTGGGCGCATCCGAAGGCAGCCTGGCCGCAGCCCAAGCTGTCTGCTCCTCTGCTACTGCTCGTGCCTGGAGACTCTGCAATGGAGAGCTGAGCGTGACACTGTGCCTGGCCTGATGCGGCTGCTGAGGTCTCCTGGCAGGAGGCTTTGGGGGGTCCCAGCAGCGGTGCTCCCCACACCAGCACGGCCACGCTGGCATGAGCTCATAGAGAGCACAGCCAGTCGCTGGGCTGTCCCCCACGCTTCTCCTAAGATGGTGTATCCTCCACAGCGGGATGAGCACCACAAGGGATGGCAGCTCTACCACAGAGCATGGCAGCCCTGCTCTCTGCACAGCAATTTTTACACTTTCACCATGTTGACTATGTGAAAACAAAAAGCTCAGATTATCCTGCTGTGAAAAAAACTGCTGTAACTGTTCAAAAGCAGCTAAAAAGATTCAAGAAAGAATCAGACATACTTATGGACACCAGTCCATGACATAAGTCATCAGTCATGCCCATGACGTGGGGCAATGCTCAGCCCCGCATTCACAGCTAGAACCAATCACTGACCATGAAGACATCGGGATGGGACCTCACATAGAGGCTCATTATCTCTTATTTGCTTGCTGCCAGTTTCCACCTCTAATGCAGGCTGCCAAGGCAGGACAGTGACCTGGGTGTGACTCCGGTCCATTGCTCGCCCTGAGTGCCTATGAAGCAGACAACCCAAGCATCAGTCCCAGAGTCACTCCTCTGCATCTGCCCTGGGCTACCTGGTCTTGGTGATGAGCCGCCATGGTGCCCCAAGCTGCATCAGCTCTGGGGAGTAGTCCTAGTGCTGGGGGCAGGAGTGACAAAACAAGTCGCCCAAGGAGGGTGCCACATGCAGGGAGACTCAGTGCCAATCAGACAGGCAAGGGATCGTCTGCCTGAAAAGGAGCGTGTGATTCAGCTCCACAATTTGTACCGAGCACAGGGATGTACAAGGACCCTTTCCAGACAGAGACATCCCCCTCTCCCCAAAACGGGGTATACATCCAGACAGAGACGTCCACCTCTCCCCACAATGGGGTATACAGCTGTCTACTACTGGAACACTGGACTGGCTACAGCAGGACCAAGCTGTGAACCTCTAAGTGCGTGCTGCCTCCACACAGCAGCAGTGGCCGACTCCTGTGGACACAGAGCATGGCGCCGCTGGCATGGGTGCTGCCTGTAGCCCCTCTGGACCCACAGCATGCACAGACTGGCCTCCCCAGGAGGTGCTGATGCAGGGCAACCCATGAGGATGACAGAACTGGCCCAGCCTTTGGAAGCCCAATTTTACAATTGGATCAGTTTTCTCATACAGTGGATTACATAAAAAATAAATACAAGGTAAGTTTTTGAAAAGCCAACCGAAAAGCCAGAAAACCCACTGTACAGTACCCCATGTGGAAGACATTCTGACCCAGTGTGTGCCTGGGAGCAGCAGGCTCTTGTCACCTCCGCCTGACAACAGTGTTGAGCCAGTGGATACTGCAGCCATTTACTGACTGAGGAAGGACACAGGGACTTGGAAAGACTGGATTCACGCTGGAGACACAGGGCTGGGATTGCTCATGTGACTGGAAATCACAGATGCCCCCTCTGCTCTGGTGTGCCTCTCCTGCCTCTGCCATGCTCTCCTAACTCCTCACAGTGGTCTCCTCACTGCTGCCTTCCCATTGCTGCACTGGAGCAGGCTAAGCAGCCTGCTGCCACATGTCCCAGCAGCAGCAGTACTGTGGATCACTGGGGAGGTATTTTTCCTGCTCCCGGTTCTGGTGCCAGAGGCTTCTTCTGGCAGCAGGAGGAGCAACTGTGTGCAAGGTCTGTGCAGTGACAAATGAAGTTTGGTAACTGACACTTCACTGGCAAATGAAGTTCCATGTTGATAAATGCGAAGTAATGCACATTGTAGGAAAAAATTACATTACTCCAATACCTGACAGGGCTCTAAATTAACTGTATCAACCCAAGACAGGGCCTGGATATCACTGCAGATAGCACAAGACCTCTGCCCAGCACACCACCATGGTCAAGGACCAGGGCAGGGAATATCAGAAAATATTCTGATGCCCTCGTACACATCACGTGGCACCACATCATCACTATGTGCAGCCTTGGTCACTCCACCTTCCAAGGATACTGCCAAACAGGGAAAGACAGCAAGAGTGAGCATGTGTCTGAAAAAAACTCCCTACGAAATGACAGAAAAACTGGGATGGCTCAAAGATTCATGGACTGGGCATCCAAGGAGGAGGGTGACAATCATCTGGTCTGCCCACCTGGATGCAGAGGGCAGGGAATTCTGCCAGGGGGTGGATCACACATCTTGCGGAAAAGTAACTTATTTAATTTTAAGACTTTGAGCAGTGGTTAGTCCACATTACTGCTTCATAAAAGTGTTCCCACATTTAATTACCTCTTCCACCAAGAAATTGTATTCAATTTTGTGTAACTTGAGATCCCAGCCTCTGCATCTTCTCATGCCCCTGTCAGCTATGCTGAACAGCCTTGCAGGACCAGACTTCTTTCTCTGAAAGTACTGAAAACATCAGTCCTTTGCTTCTCAGTCTTCATTCTGGTAAGCTGAATACCTTAATGTCCACATCATAAATACGTTCATCAGACCCAAGTCAGTTTTTGGACCTTCTTTACAACTCTCTCCAGTATTTCCATGCTCTCTTGAAGTATTACTTACAGGATGGGACACAGTACTTTAGTATGCGCTTTCTTAGTCTCAAGTGTAGGTGCAAAGTCATTCTACTCTTTGGTATCCCGCTTTTCAGACATATAAAGAATACGTGTCTCTCTTTTTGCCAAAGCACTGGACTGAGAGCTGCAAACCAAGAGCTGATGTGGGGAAAGGCAGTAACGTGTCTGAAGAGTCAACGTATACTCATAGCTAAGTACACATCAGTTGTTTAACAAAATGTAAATACAGATAATACTTCTTGCTTTCCATGAGACATCCAGTGTATATTATAGACTCAAATGATGCTCAAGATGCCTGAATCAACCACCGCAAAGAGGAAGTCTTTCTTAAACTCAGCGGTTTTCAGATGAAGGTAACTACAACAGAAAAGACTGAACAACAGAACTGCCGAACTCCTATGCAGATCATCACCACAATGTTTCTAAGAGAGAGAACTTAAGAAGAGTTGTTCTGCCATGGGAAACCTGGGCTGCTGGTCTACAGGCTGACCTGTGATTTGGAGCAAGATGCCAGGACAGCTGCAGTATGCTTTGTTAGGTACAGGCTAACAAATGTACAGGCTAAAATTTTCTGGTTTGTTTTACAGTAGCCATTAGTTTCAAACACTTGTACTTAACCCCTCTAGCCTTTAGCTATCTGAATTAAATCTTTATTTTGGTTTACTACAAAAGCTTATTGAATGCTGTGGGACAGGACAACCTAGGATAAAGTCAAATCTTTAAGGCTGACGATCACTCTTTACAC